TCAAAGTAAAAACCTTTTGAGAAGGTGCTTTGGCTCTAAGGGCTTCCAGGCTGGCTACCCTCTGCAGCAGTTGGCAGGGGGAGTGGAGTTCCTTCATCCCTCTCCCATCTCTTCCCCAGCCCTAGGCTGAAAGTCTCCCTCCAGCTCCAGACAGGGAGAATGTCTTTTCATGAGCCCAATCCCAAGCATCTAACAGCAATATCCATAGGCACATTACTGAGCATCCTCCGCAGAAGGAATATATAGAAACTTCACCTTCAGAGTAACATTTAAACGCCTGTTTTCCAATGGGCCATGGGCTGCCAAGCATTTGAAATCATAAATGGGCTGCTGAAACCGGGCCAAGCCATCACCCAGGCTCCTCCACGGGGGACCATGAGGAAGGACACTGACATGTTCACCATCCCCAAGCCACAGCCTGTGTGTCTCCTGGGGAAGGAAGAGAGACAAAACTTTCCTTGCTGCTGGGTTTCACCAGCCAATATTGCCTAATCAAGCAGCTGTGCTGCTTAATTAGCATGAAAAGCATATTTAGCAAGCAGCTAGAGGAAGCGTTTATTAGATTAAGTGGTGGCTTTGGAGTTGGTTGGGGGTTTTTTACTGTTGATTAGGTGGCTCAGGAAGGACGGTGCAATGCTGAATGACTTCAAGGCAGATGGAGGCAGTGCTGTATCTCCCACATAGGGGGTCCCCAGCAAAGAGAGAAAGAACAGCAAGTTTTCCTTTAAACTTACTGGTAAAGCCTCTGCTTACTCACTCATGGTGGTTTTTGTTTTCAGAAGAAATGTTTCTGAATTGGAGAAGCAGAAATCCTCCCAGCCTGATACTGATGTTTTAATGAAGGAGAAAATAAAAAACATTTCTAAAGCCTCTTGAAGTTACAACAAACAGAACCTCACAATGAAGCATTTCCTGCAGCATGCAAGGGTGCATGGTCCAGGATTACTGTTATTTCACTGCTGACTCTGTAGTTTAAAAACTCAAAGAACACGTCAGAAATGCAAAATCTTTCTTAGACCTGTAAGACCTATTCAGTACTAGATGGAACTAAACCAAATCTGAAGTACACTTACAATTCAACATGTCACATTTTTTTGCTGGTAAGTACCCAAACAGAAATGAATACTGAAAGAGTATGTGGAGTGTTTTACTGGAGAAGTTACGAAATGCATCTTACTTTTAAAATAAATTTTGAAACTATTTTCTTAAATTTTCTTAAATATACTTAATATTCTGTAGCTACTAAAGGATTTATAGGAATGAAAAAATAAATAGAATGCTTTCAGTCAAAGGAAGATTGAAAAGCAATCACAATGAAATATTTGCAACAAATAACAATACTTGTATAGTACTAGCCAAAACATGTAGCCAAAAAGAGATCCCATCCTCATAGAATCATAGAAAAGTTTGGTTTGGAAGGAACCTTCAAAGTCCATCTAGCCCAACCCCACTGCAATGAGCAGGGCCATCTTCAACTAGATAAGGCTAATCAGAACTACATCCATCTTTTGATTCAGTGCATTTTGAGTGAATAGATACATATTTCAGCTTAGTAGCCTTAAATTTGCAATTTTCTAGCATTTAAGGTTTATTACTCTGGGTTTAGTACCTAAATGTTTTCTTTTAAATAAACACCCTTCACTTAGCTAGTATGTGGATGAATCTTAATTTCTCTAAAGCTGTTACTATTTTGCACATTGTCTTGGTAAGAACATTATGTTATTGTGTGGTAAAATAAGTTTACACTCAGGGTTGACCAGTTTTCATGTCTAGTGTACATTTTTAACTCTAACTTTTCAGGTGGAATTTGGATACCCATCTTTTCCTGGAGGAGGATTTGAGCATATGGTGATAAAGCATACACATCTTTTGTGCTTTGTTGGTAAAACTGATGGTCTGCAGCTCCAGCCCCAGAACTCAGGAGCCCTACACAAAGCTCACAGTGAGCACAACTGCTCTCAGGCTGTGGATGTTAACAGACTCCAAGAGTCTCCAACGCTCTGCAGGTGTCTCCAGGAGTCAGGCTGTGAGTTGAGATTGGAGCAGCTGATGTAACCCAAAGTGAGGCCCTTCCAGACACTCACTCGTGTGTCATTCTCAGCAGGGTGATTATTTCATGATATACAACAGCCAAGGGGCCTGGCTGGCAGCCTCCCTCCAACTCTGCTGTGACCTCTGTGGAAACACTCAACAGTTGACAAGACAGAGAGTGAAGCCCAAAATCAGTGTCTCAGCAGAGCACTCAGGCTGGTGTGCTCCTGTGAGGCATTCCCGGTGTCCCATCCCCATCCTGGACTGCACCAACAGTGAGGGAGGACATCTCCATTGGCCCTGCAGGGCATTCAGCCCATGTAAACGCTACCTGAAGAGCTGAGCAGCACTACTGGCAGCCCACTGGCTGCACAAATCTTGCCTGACTCCATTTCCATCAAAAGGTGCGCTTTTGACCCAACAACTGGCCTCATATTTATGCTGCGTGTGCTGCAGATGGCTTGGTTGTGCCACACAGCTTGAGTGCAGCTGCTGGGTGGTTTGTTTTGTGGGGGTTTTTCATTCCTTGCCTTTCCAGTTTAGGAAGCGACAATTGGTGATGTTTGGAGAGCTCTCAAGTGAGCCTGGCCCTGCTGCTGTCTGTATTCAGGCTCTTTGCCAATGAATGGGATACACAGCACTTGTGGTGCAGCTGCCCTGTGGGTACAGGGGGAGAATGCACCCCCCTGGTTTCACAACCAGTGTAGTATTATGTGATGAAGTGGTGCTAAAGAAGAGCCATAGTGCTGGGAAAGCCTCCCAAACCTCAAGCTGTGGCTACACGTGTGATAAAAAGCCTTCGTCTGATGTTAGCTGAGTAAGTCTGAAGATTCTCATTGAAAAGCAGGGCTGAAAGCATCCTCAAGCCCTCATCTAATCCATCTTTGTATCCTAAGGCATGATCCTTGCATTATTAACACTTAAGCAGCACATTTCTAATCTGCTCTTAAAGGCCTCCAGTGATTAAGTTTCCTTAATTGTGAGGCCATGACCTCCACTGCCTTACAATGGCTGTCTTGTTAAACCATTCTCTGACACAACTCAGCTATGCTCTGATGCCTTCCAAGACTTCTTTTCCCTTCCACAACAGAAAAGTCAGATTATGCTGTTGCTCTTCACAGATTCAAACACTACTAGCTTGCCTTCTGCCAGTGGTTTTTCTGGTAAGCAGTAGCTGTATCTGTAATCACCCCTACACTACCACTCCTGCTCTGAGTTTCATGTTGTTCACCTCTGAGGTAAGTTCCCCTTGGCCGGCTTAGCCCACGTGTACAAAAGATGGCTTGTCCACTCGCTTTTGCCATCTTGACAGGCTGTGCGCTGGACTTACTCAGCCTGGAGAAGGCTCCTTAAGGGGAGACCTTAGAGCAGTTCCCAGTGCCTAAATGGGCTACAAAAAAAATGGAGAGGGGCTTTGGACAAGGGCCTTTAAAGACAGGACAAGGGGGAATGGCTTTAACCTGCGAGAGGGGAGATTGAGATGAGCTCTTGGGCAGAAGTTCTTCCCTGTAAGGGTGGTGAGGCACTGGCACAGGGTGCCCAGAGAAGCTGCGGCTGCCCCATCCCTGGCAGTGTTCAAGGCCAGGTTGGACAGGGCTTGGAGCAAACTGCTCTAGTGGAAGGTGTCCCTGCCCATGGCAGGGGGTTGGAACTTCATGAGCTTTAAGGTCCCTTCTGACACAAACCGGTCTGTGGTTCTGATTCCGTGATCTTGATTCCTAGCCCAGAAAGAATTGAAGATAAAAAGACAGGAAACTAAGGCAGCTAACCCTTTCCTAACACACTGATTTTAAAACCTGAAACCAAACATGACTCCTTCCTCTGGCATATGGAAGATGAGGCTGAAGCTTCCCATGAGCAGTGGCTTTCTGAACGTCCATTTGTCCCCTTCACAGTGAAAGAAACAAGGTGAAGGAGGCTGTGGCACCGCACCAGTATCATTCTGAGGTTGCAGCTTCTTAGAAATCAGAGCTAGACCCCAAACATAATCAGAGACAGATCCCATGATCCTGTTGCTTCAAGGGAGGATATGAAGCAATAGAAAGACTCCTCCTGCACATCAGCAGAATCAAAGTCTGCAGTGAAGTAACAGGTCCTGGGGACAGGCACACCATGCTCTACTGTTACCATAATCTTTCACAACTCTGATTGCAAATACATGTAGCTACAAGTTGTGACTGAAAGCACCACTGCTGTTAGTCTGGACACAGCCAGTAACAACGGGCCCTAGTCCATGCCACCACTATTTCTGTATTTTGATTTTTAACTCATGCACAGATTTTCAGATTTTTTGCTTTAGTACAATTCAGTTTTTAAAGCTGGGGTGTTTACAGTTGGTGGTAACATGGAAGTAGAAGGGTGGCTCTGGGCACTCTTTTGGAAGATGACATTTGAGATAGAACTGGAGAGAACAATTCAGCCTAACTGTGATCACATCCCACAGTGGTTCTGCAAAAATATTGAGGTATTTTCAGTTCTAGAAAGGTCTTACTATAGGCCCATTTTATTTTTAAAGCCATCACTTCATTATTCGTAAAGCTATTTATCTAATTCCATTTGCTTGGCTCTATAAAATCAGGAGAAAAAAAAAGTAGTTAGCAAGTAGACTGCTTTCTCTCAAAGCCTTGAACATGGGAAACCTTACAGGTTAGTGCCATGGGCCTCCCTATTATGAGATGACAGCTGGACTACAGAACCTTGGGAGACTGATGCTGCTGCATCTCAGCTCTTAACCTGTGAGAGCTGCTCAATTTGCTGATCTGTGAAGTCAATCCTGTGACTCACGTGAAACACCTCTGAGCTCAGCCTGTTTCTACGAAGGTAGACAGCAACACACATGCACATGAAAATCCCTTTGTGAGCTGTCTCAGATGCTGCAGGGCTTTAAAGGCAACAGGAACTACTATTCTGAGCCCTAGATCACACTTTCTGTACCATTCGCTTTAATCAAAATATCAAACACTGATATAGAGAAATTTAACTGTTTACTTCTGTTTAAAGAAAATGTTCAGACTCAGAAGTGCTCTAGTCTAGAATCAAATTCACAACCTTGGTAAACATCGGACATTCTGTAAGTGGAAAAAAACATTGTGTCCCCAACAGTGCAGTGACAAGAAAAAATAAAAACAAAGGAGCAAAAGCCGATGATCTGCTTGATGCAGCATGAGTCTGTCATCATCATACTTGCGCCACCAAAGACAGCACTCCAGGAAAAAGCCCAATCCTTGGGCCTGGATACGGAAAAAGACAAATCGACTCCCTTATTAGTTCAGTTGTTAAGTGGCAAATGTCAGTCAAACCCTGACACATCTGGTGAAGCTGCCATCTGGAGGCCAGTTACAGGTATGCATCACATATAAAAGGTAAGTTAAGTTCAGGGGGTTATTTTATGAGAAATGTATATTGTTTGCAATAGGTATTGTTTATTGTTTTATGAGAAATAGGTATCGTTATTCTGTACAAAGGTACATGAATTCCTAAAAACGAGCATGCTTACTGGAAGGTTGCAAGTGTGCCATCAAACAGCAAGAAAAGACAGAAAGCTGCAGAAGTACACCAAGAATTAAAAAATCTTTTACTAGTGCAAATAGGAAATAGAAGGGAAATCTTCTTCCATGCAGGCCACTTCAACAGGATTTTTTGGGCATTTGTACATCACCGGCCAACTCTTCAAGCTGCTTGGAGAACTTTTCCTCCAAGTGATTCTAGCAGGAGAGAAAATGCAGAACAATCAGTAACCCTGAAAACAGTTTCCTCATCTTCTTGTTAGATACACATATCTACAATGATCAAACCTTCGGACATAACTGGCACAAGTTAACCCAAGTATTGAACCAGAAGGTCTCACTACCACAGGCAGCAGTAGCCCCTAGACAGCTACAGAGAAATCTTCACAGGAAGGGCTAAACAAGCTCAGTTATCCCAGTGTGATATTAAAACCTTCAAACTGAATAGATACTCTCCATTGAATATTCTGACCCGATAAAAGCCTCAGGCTGTTAAGATGAGCTTGTATTTCTGAATCAAATCCAAGTGGCTCATCAACCTGAGCAGTCTCGTCTGAAAATGTACAAAATAGCTGCCAAATAGCTGTAATTTATTGCCGCTTCAAGGCTTATGGCCGAATACCTCATGCTTTATCTACGAGCAAACTGACCGTACCCCAAAGAAATAGAGGTTCACATGCTCAAATGTGGCCCAGCTGACTCAGGAAAGTTACATATGAACTTCCCAAACATGTTTATACAACCATAAGCGCAGATGACACAAACATGGATAAATTGGGTGTTATGTTTTATAGGGGAAGTCCCCACTGCAGTCTATAATGCAGCCATTAGAATACATGCCTTAGAGCACTCTGAGAGTTCAGGAGCAGCAAGGAAGGCTGTGAGACCAAGAAGCTGCAACACAGCTGGGTGAATAAACACTCTGACAGGTGAAGCAGACAAAATCCAGCGGGATATAGATACATAATCCTCACTGATACCACTATGCCCAACTGTCTTTGTAACTGAAACTATCATTCCTTCACTAGTTCCTGCTACTGGTATGCATGGATTCTGCCTTACCAGAGGAAAATCTCTCTTTAGAGATCATTAAGACTACAATCTGAGGTTGATAAATCAACAACCACTTAATACATGTAGTTTGTTTTGGAATATCAGGCTCATTTAAATCTCTGTGAAAGACAAACTCTTACCAGTTCTTGTTTTAATTCTTCAACCTTCACTTTTGCAAGTGGAATATTCTAATGAGAGAAAATGGCATAAAAATTAGTATTTCAGCTGGAAACACAGAGTCCCTTCATCATGGCAAGAACCTAATGATGTGCTGCAGGGGAATTCGGGAATAATTAAACCAGTTATATATACATCCTTCACATGCAAGAGGTACTGACATTAAAAGGCTGGTCTCAGACTTTTACCCAATTTGGTTTGGGTAATCACAGTATTTTTCAAAAGTCTAGTATGGCCTAAAGTGGGAAAAAAAAACCAAAGCATTTTTTGCAGCTTACCTACTAAACAAGGAACTAGATTTAAAACATATCCATGCATGAAGTTTTACAAAGCACAGTGAGTTTGCAAGGATAAACCTTCCTCCCTCCTTCTAACTGCACCAGGAGCGAGGCACTGGGGCTCTGCCTGTCTCTAGTGCCAGTATAAGGGGAGGATGGGGAACTGGAGAACCTAATCAAACTTGAACATCCCATTTCACTTGAAAAAAGGAGGCAGCTGCCTCTTGGAATAAAATGGATCTGAAAGAGAAGCAGCGTTCTCTCCCTTCACTCTGTTCTAGAAACAAGACAGCAGCAGCAGAAAGAGGGAGTTGTGTTGAGAAGCAGGAACTCTATGGAAGGGATAACAAAGTAGGGAGAGAAGTGTGGCCTAGCAAACAGATCCCTTATTCATAATACAAGACATGCGATTAATTGCCAAGTTTCTGTGTGATTTTGGGTAAGTCTTTGTTTCTCTGGCCTTTTATGCCCCATTTATAAGAAGTGGAATAAAACTTTTTCACTTCTTACACAGAAAGGTCTGAGTTTAGCTCTATTAAAGGTTGTGCGGTACTCAGATGAGGGGGTGACAGACACTATGTCAGCATGCAAAACTGTAAATTAGACAGTTATAGCTGAATTTAACAAAACCAAAACCCACTTAACTATTCACACTCCAGCTTTAGCTACTTTCCCCCTGAATGACAAAAAGAAAAGTCCTTAATATTTCTTTATAAAAGCAATAACAATCTTCTAAAGCAGACTATAAATACTTGGATTTGGCAGTCCCAAATACCACAGGTGGCAATGTACAGATGTCACACACAGCCAAGGCCTTGTTTCATGGACTAAAGCCTTGTTCACCCGTGAGTTTTTTAAGCCACTATGAAGTTGTTCACAAAATTACCCTTTTTGTAATTTTGACACAAGCATTCTAATTCAAAAAGGGTAAAATCATTTTTATAAAAGATGCTTCCCATAACAGTCTGATAGTAACTCTTAGCACAAGGACCAGTAGTGATGATAGCCAAAATATAAAACAAAGGAAAGACAGACAGGGCTTTCAGAACTGCAACTTAGTCACCTAAATGACAAACCTGACATAAGTAGGCACTCATTTAGCATGAGTAGACAGCACCCTCCAGAGAAAGAGGGCCTACAAGGATGTTGGAGTGGGACTTTTCATCAGGGACTGTAGTGATAGGACAACGGGTCACGGGTTCAAACTGAAACAGGGTAAGTTCATGCTGGATATAAAGAAGTTCTCTACTGTGAGAGTGGTAAGGCACTGTAACAGGTTGCCTGAAGAACTGGGGAATGCTCCATCCCTGTCAGTGTTCAAGGCCAGCTTGTTGAGGGTCTGGCCTTGGGTGACGTGATCTAGAGTGAGGTGTCCCTGCCCCTGGCAGGGGGTTGGAACTTGATGATGTTAAGGTTCTTTCTAATTTAAACCATTCTATGATTCTAAATCAAAGAAGATGATGGAGCAGCGAGCACTCACACAAGCTAGAGTACTTGTTTAAGGTCCAATGCCTGCATTTGGCTATTTCTTCATAATAATTAAAATCTTGCTCAGGGCTCCAACCTTTGCTCAACGTGCTGTGCCCACTGTATTCACAGCTTTATGACATGCAGATCTAAAATATTGGTAAATTGCAAAAGACTTGTGCTAAGGATTATCCTTTCTCCTACATTTGTCTATCTAGCTAATCCATCTCGATACTGAGTTTACCCAGCAAATATGTGCCTTTTGTTAGAACAGAGTTTGGTGGGTAAGCCTACTTATTTTCCCACTTTTTAATAATAGATTGCCTTCTGTTTAAGTCAAGTTTTCCATTTACAACCAACATACATCTGTCCACTGAAACCACCATAATATGCTTTACATTCTGAAGTCCATTAAAATTAATCTGATGGCAAACACAATAGAACAAAAGTGGAAAAGATAATTACAGCAGGTAAATCTTGGTAGCTTTCCACTTTTTTCTTCAGTGGCACAACTTCTTTCTGCAGTCTATCCAGTTTCTGTGAAGAGAGTAAGGCAGATTATATTATACAGTCTTACTTGTAGAAGTGATACAAGCCAGTGAAATAGATCCACAATTCTCTACAGCATTTCAAAACCCACAGATGCTGGTAAGAGCTTCCAAAATCCATCTTAAAACTCATGGAAATCTACAGATCTGCTACTTGTTTGGTTATCAATCAGTCAAACCCAGTACAAGTTCTACACAGAGGTTTCTTCACTCCGAAGACATCTTCAGATACCTTTATTCTTACAGTACAACCACCTGACCACATCTCCCTGAATGAGAATACACCAGACAGAGGATTTTTTTTTCACTAACCACCTCTGTTGCAGGCCACAGAAAGAACTGAGCCCCAAGGAGACACACTCTCATGCCTGTGGCTTGTGTGTGGAAATGGTTTTGCACATTACACTTGTACCGTTTTGCTTAATCTGTTAGCAAGGGGAAACAATTTCTCTTTAGGGATGAAAATTAAGCACCTTCCACAGAACTCAATTATTTTCAAATAATTAATAATTAAAAAAGATGCATTCCAAAACTAAAGGCACTTGTGCTGCCCAACTCACTGAACTCTTGGAAAAGGAGATAAAGAAGTGCCAGGGAATCAAACCCACCCTTATGCTCAGGTTCTAGAAGATGGTAAGTCCAGAAAAGAACACCTATGACTTTTTGTATATAGAACTCCTACAGAAATTATTTTTGGTTAGTACTCTTCTGAAACACTACGCAATGTAAACATTGCCACCCAGTGCTGGCTCCCGAGAACGACAACACAAACATCAGGAAACCTATTCACATTGTTCAACTTAAAACACAGGAACAGGTAGCAACGAAATGGGTAGAAAGGCTAAGTTCTCAGTACAGTAACAGCAAATAATATTAAAGCAAATAATATTAAATAATATTAAAATGTGGTGAGTGCATACAGAACAACACCAATACATTCAATATGCTTCGGCATAAAGGTGGAGAATCTATATAACTAGTAATTCAAGAAATGTGTTTTTTTTCCCTTTAACAAATTATCCCACTGAGCTTACAATACAGCAGGAAAGTATATAAATAATATAAGAAATATATAACATTTATATTTAAAGACACAAGGGAAAAAAAACCACACACAGTTGTTCAGCATTTGGGTTTTACTCGGCCTCCTCCAGTCATTCTGAACTGTTTGAAAGAAAGCTTCTTACCAAGTGCAAAATAACCCCATATCTAAACCTGAAGAAAAGGTACCACTTCAACACCCATAGGTGCTTCTCAGTTTCTAGGAGAGAAAAACCCACCCAACACACCCCAGTTCAGCAGAAGCCGATCCATGAGACTCTTATCTGTGTTTCATAATAAATACTTGTCGGCGTAACCAAATAACAACCTGCATTTCCTGAAACGATGCAACAAACAAGCCTGGTCTGTGCCACTGTAAAACATCTATCATGTACCATCAAACTTACCTCAGCCAGGCTCACCAGTGACTTGTGTGACAGTGACATATCAAACCCTGTGGCAGCAAGCTCCATCTACAAAGAAGAAAGAGTTCTTTTGGAACTGACCACAAAATACAACAGGGAGGAGAGACATTTTACCTATTTTTGAGTTTTGAGCTAAAGAGCCAAACAAGAACACAACCTGTCAACAAAAGAAACATGCTGTGTGAACCACGGCCATAGCTGGTGTACAAATTCAGTTACTACTAAAATTTGTATCAAGAATAGCAAGTATTTCCAGAAAAGTACTGGGTGAAGAGCACATGGCAAGGCTGGGAACAGGTATCCCTGGATATGTTCAAGGCCAGGTTGGACAGGGCTTGGAGCAACCTGGGCTAGTGGAAGGTGTTTAGTTCCAAGAGGGGCTTAGAACTGGATGAGCTTTAAGGTTCCTTCCAACCCAAACTTGTCTACGATTCTATGAAGGTGTCATCAACTCTAATACACCATTTTCCATCTCATCTTTGTCAGGTTGCTGGACAGCATCCAAGTGTTAAATAAAGCATTTGCATATTCTTCATCATGTGAAAGACAGTACATTTTCTGCCTTCTGTGTTTAATGATGCAGAATTTTAAAAAAAATTATATAATCAGAATTTTGACACACAATTTATCTCTGTGGATCAACTGCTTTACTGGTAGCTATGTGTACACTCTTAGGTGACAATAAGCATGTGGTAGTCCTAGCTAATACAGATCACAGTGAAAGTGCCCTTGCATTTATCATAGGATGTCCTGGGAAGAGACCATGAATATAGCAGAAACAACTTAAGTGTAATGTCATATTTTCCTGTTAATCCAAAAATCCTCAATCCTGGAGTTTAGGAAGCTCCTGGGATCTCTAGAACTACAATTTTGGGCCCAACCAACCATGACTGTGACATGAAAAAATTCCTTCCATCTACCTCAGCAGCTTCGACCCTTTTCCTTAGCTCTTCGCCTTTAAGTTCCAGGAACTGCAAGTCCTGGGATCTGCGATCACCTTTGGCATTTTTTACTTCAGCAAGTTCCTGTGTACTTTTAAGATCCCTAAGAAAAAAAACAAAAACAAAAAAAAACCAAAACCCATCAAACTTATGTTCCAAGAGATACCAGTGTACAAGTATTGCTTAGTTACGTATGCTCAAGCTAAACCCTATAATACAACCAACATGAGAAGGAAGAGAATAGATTAAAACTTGTATTTCCCTGTGAGATTTCCCAGTGGACACATTACAGCTGTTACATCCAGAGTTCCAAAGACCAAGGTGGGTAAAAAAAGGCCAAGGCGAAAGCCATCTGCATAAAAGCAAAATGTAAGAGTCTTCTGCATAATTCCAATTCAGTCAGAAACCTGCTAGGCAAGCTCAGCTGAAGATCACAGAAAGGAGCCATGCAAACCTGCACAAAACACACAGGTCTGGTGTCTTTGTTACACTTACTACTCTAAAAGACAAAAACCAGAAAATTAGCCTTGAAGAGGGCTATGGAGAGCATCTGGGCCAATCCCCACTTGAGGCAGGGGCTGATCCTGCTATGCTTGGCAAAGCATTTCAGATTACATCCTCTAGGGATTGGACTTCATACTGACTGCTAATTATTACTTGCTTTCTGAAGTCTGCTACACACTGGGTAAAGGAAATTCTTACCTGTGAGTGGTTTTTGTTTTGCCTGACTCCTTCACTCTGACTAGAGCCCATGCTAAATATGGTAAGAAAATCAAGTTTGCATCTACCTCCAATGAAGGCAAGTGGCGGAAGAAGGCAGTGCACACCTGAATACCGTTTGTAGATCATTTTTGCCTTATCTCTTTTCATTACTGAATGTGTCCATAGTACATGGCTTGTGATAAGTCCTTCAAAATATTGTGAATTAAAGATGTGCTAAGAAATTCAGTTATCCTTGTTAGTTATCACAACCAACATTCCATATTGTGGAGTTCAGAGGCATCACTTAAAATGTTTAAACATACCCTTTTCTCATTCATTACTCACTTCTCTAACTGAGTCTGCAGATTCAGTGCTGTACCTATTTTTTCCATGAGACTTTTCAATTCCAGTTCCATTTCTCTGTTTTCTGATTCTATTGTGTAGAGTTCAGATGTCCTTTCATTGATGGCATAGATGAAGCTGGTGAAGAGAGAAAGATTCAGTAGGAATGCTCAGAAGCCAGATCTTCTCAAACTCAGAATTACTAATTTCTCCATGCTTTACACTAATGACTTGGTTTTGTTCTCATATTATGATAGAAGGAAAATAAAATAAATCACTAAGAGTATTTACTTCCCTTAACTAACAAAACTTTCATCTGAAAGGGGAAGTGCCCCAGCAATCTGGTAGGAGTAAGTGAACAAGACCTTGCACTCTGGTGAATATAACTACTGGGACTTGACATCATCAGATGCTGCACTCCTGGCTTGCCAAATTGCCTTTGAGCGAAACTGTATTCAGTTCCTGAGGCATGCCCAGGACTATTTTCAGTCTCCTTTCTCTTCCTAAGTGGTTCAAAGCTGCTTTTCCATCCAGCTCAGGAGAAGAGCTGTAGGAGCCAAGCTCCTGAACATCATACAAAAATTGGATTCCAAGGCAATTTTGGTCCTTACTGCCAGTGCTCAGCACACACCTGCTGTGTTATGGGTAAAAGACAGGCCCAGGAAGACCAGGCTAATAGTAGCCATTTCTCTGGGGCTAAGGAAATATCCTTACATTAAGTGAAACCAGGTAAGTGCAAAGAATGAGGAGCTGAGACTGAAAGACCAGAACTTTCAGTTCCCCAGCCCTTGCCTAAGCAGTATGAATGCTGCTTTAGCTTGTGCTACCTTACACAACAGTGTGAGCAACAACATCCCACAGTTACTGACCACAAAAGCACAGGCAAAAAAATAATCATAGAATCAACTGGGTTGAAAAAGACCTTTAAGATCATCAACTCCAACTTTTAACCCAGGACTGCCATGTTCACCACTACATGGTTTGTGAACATTTCCAGGGACAGTAATTCCACCACTGCACTAGGCAGCCTGTTCCAATGCCTGAGCACTCTTTTGGTAAAGAAATTGTTCCTGATGTTCAGTTTAAACCTCCCCTGGCACAGCTTGAGGCCATTTCCTCTTGTCCTGTCACTTGTTACTTGGGATAAGAGACTGATCCCCATCTCACTATAACCTCCTGTCAAGTAATCGCAGAGACCAGTAAGGCCCCCTTGAGCCTTCTTTCCTCCACACTAAACCCCCCCAGTTTCTCAGCCCTTCATCACACTTTTGCTCCAGGCCCTTCAGCAGCTCCACGGCCCTTCTATGGACCTGCTCCAGCACCTCAATGTCTCTCCTGCAGTGAGGGGCCCAGAACTGAACACAGGATTTGAGGTTTGGCCTCACCAGTTCCCAGTACAGGGGGACAATCACTGCCCTGGTCCTGCTGCCACACTACTGCTGATACAGGCCAGGATGCTGTTGGCTGCTCTGGCTGCCTGCCACAAGCTGCTCATGTTCAGCTCTGTCAATCAGCACCGCCAAGGTCCTTTTGCATGAGAACCTTTCCAGCTACTTTTCTCCAAGCCTGGAGTGTTGCATGGGGTTGCTGTGGCACAAGTGCAGTACCAGTGCACTTCCTCTTTCCAAGTGCAATCCCTCTTCCCAAGAGGCATCTATTTCTTGCCAAGGCACTTAGGCTACAGACTTTCTCTTCCCCAGATAACTAAGGTTAGAGTTTTGTGCTGAGTTCCAATGTCTCTTAGAGCTGCCCAAGGGGTGAAAAATAAGCTGGACAAGTAAGATTCCTGGGTGTGAAAGTCAAGTTTGCAACTATTGAATTGAAAAAACAGAGGGAAACAGCACAGACCATCACCCCTGATGCACAGTAGGAAAAATTACCTGGCAAGAGAAGTGTCCTTCGTTTCAAGTGTCATTGCGCTGTTTACCAGGACATCCAGGTACATGGTGGCTTTCCTGGACAGCTTGTGTGTGGGAAGACCCAGCTCTTCTGAGAGAAGGCGCTGTAGATACTTAGCTGGAAAACAAATACAATCCCAAATACTAATTTTATTTTTTAATATTACTGTTCTTTTAAGGGACTCTCCAAAACTAGAACCCAATCTTTGAGCCATCTGGTCTACTGAAAGTTGTCCCTGCCCATGGCACGGGGTTGGAACCAGACGAGTTTTAAAGTCCCTTTCAACCCAAATCATTTTGTAATTCTATGAACTTTGTGTCTCCACTGTTAGGGAAAGAGACATCTTAAAAGAAGGCTTCAACATACCAAACTGCTGCTTGTCAAAAAATTCAGTGTGTTGAAGGAGAAAGCACTGCTCCAATTTTCCTGACCAGCCTGCCTGAACTCACTCAAACATGAGTGAGTGCGGGTGTTGATGAGGACGCACAGGTCTTCTCCCGGCAGAGCTCAACCTAAGCCTTTCCTGAGCATGAACTTCCCTGTCACAGCAGACTTGGGAAGTCTGCATTTGCAGCACAGATAATACATATGCCTGTCTGGTACTGCCCATGTTCCTTGACAGGGTAAACCAACCATTCAGCCTCCATCATCATTTGTTTGATGGCAAGGCACCAGAAGACTTGAGGCAAAAAAAAAGCCCAAACATACAGGGCTTTTACAAAAGCATCTCTATGTGTACAATATCAGTCTTTCCACAGAGAAGTAAAATTCCTTCCTGAAAAAAGCCAGCGAAGGGACAATCCTTTAGCACGTGTTAAAAAATATTATGGTTCCCTGAACCGCTCACTTGCTCCAAAAGTTGTGCATTATCAAACATTCACCCTAAGTAGCTCAAGCATAACTTATTCTCATTTCAGATTCCCCAGGTGTTTTTCTTAACAGTGGCATAGCATCAGCTCAGACTCTTAAATCAGCTGTAGGGTTGCTTCCCTGTCTATCCAGCCAATATTTCAACGCTGTGCTGTTCAGCCCAGCGAGGTAGGAGGTTTTAGCAATTAAACTTCTTGCTGTATTAGCAGCATGCTAAACATGGCTCAAAAAATTGCTCTTGACCAACCTTATGTCACCACAAATTTTGCTGAAAGAAATGCATGGGATGCACTGTAGTAAAAACTGTACCAGAACAAAAGATGAGTTCATTTCAGTTGTATTTATATATATATATATGTATACATATATATATATATATATATATACTTGCAAGATTTAAACAAAGACAACATTCAGGATTACTAAGAATAAGCTTGATGGAACTGAGAACTGTAGCTTTAAACTCACCTTCTGCTTTATATTCCTTTGAGCACTCCTTCAAGCCCTCAATCACCAAAGAAACATCTCTGTGTCTGGCTTCGTTGTATTCTGCAAGCTTACACAAGATATTCATAGAATAGTTAGGGTTGGAAAGAACCTTAAGATCATCTAGTTCCAATTCCCCTGCCATGGGGAGGGAAACCTCACACTAAACCATGTCACCCAAAGCTCTGACCAGCTCCCACTTGAACACCGCCAGGGATGGAGCATTTACAGACTCCCTGGGCAACCCATTCCAGTGCCTCACCACCCTAACAGGAAAGAATTTCCTCATTATAGCCAACCTAAACTTCCCCTGTTTAAGTTTTAACCCGTTACCCCTTGTCCTGTCACTACAGTCCAAAATGAAGAGTCCCCCCCCAGCATCCCTATAGGCCCCCTTCAAATACTGGAAGGCTGCTATGAGGTCTCCACACAGCCTTCTCTTCTCCAGGATGAACAGCCCCAACTTGCTCAGCCTCTTCACATGGGAGGTGCTCCAGTCCCTTGATCATCCTTGTGGCCTCCTCTGGACTTGTTCCAACAGTTCCATGTCCTTTTTATGTTGAGGACACCAGAACTGTACACAATACTCCAAGTGAGGTCTCACGAGAGCAGAGTAGAGGGGCAGGATCACCTCCTTTGACCTGCTGGTCACACTCCTTTTGATGCAGTCCAGGATGCGGTTGGCTTTCTGGGCTGCGAGCGCACACTGCCGGCTCATGTTCATTTTCTCATTGATCAACATCCCCAAGTCCTTCTCCTTGGGCTGCTCTGAATCTCTTCTCTGCCCAGCCTGTAGCTGTGCCTGGAATTGCTCCGACCCAGGTGTAGGACCTTGAACTTGGCATGGTTAAACTTCATGAAGTTGGCATCAGCCCACCTCACAAGCATGTCAAGGTCCCTCTGGATGGCATTCCTTCCCTCCAGCATATCAACCGAACCACACAGCTTGGTGTCATCAGCAAACTTGCTGAGGGTGCACTCAATCCCACTGTCCATGTCAGCGATGAAGATGTTGAACAAGGCCGGTACCAAAACTGATCCCTGAGGGACACCACTCGCTACTGGTCTCCAGCTGGACATTGAGCCATTGATCACAAATCCTTGTATGCAGCTATCCAATCAGTTCTTTCTCCACCAAGTGGTCCACCTATCAAATTAATGTCTCTCCATTTTAGAGACAAGGATGTCGTATGGGACAGTGTCAAACGCTTTGCACAAGTCCAGGTAGATGACATCAGATTCTCTACCGCTGTCCATCAGTTCCGTAGCCCCATCATAGAAGGCCACCAAATTGATCAGGCAGGATTTGCCCTTAGTGAACCCGTTCTGGCTGTCACCAAGCACCTTGTTGATTTTCATGTGCCTTAGCATGCCTGCCAGTAGGACCTGTTGCAAGACTTTGCCAAGCACAGAGGTGAGACTGACTGGTCTGTAGTTCCCTGGGTCATCCATTTTCCCCTTCTTTAAAATGGGGGTTATATTCCCCTTTTTCCAGTTGTTGGGAACTTCACCTGACTGCCATGATTTTTCAAATATGATGGACAGTGGCTTAACAAATTCATTCTCCAGCTCCTTCAGGACCCACAGATGGGTTTCATCAGGTCCCAGGGACTTGTGTACTTTCAGGTTTTTAAGATGATCTCGAACCAGATCCTCTCATCTAGTGGGCCCAAGGTCTTCATTCTCACAGTCCCTGTGTCTACCTTTGAAGACTTGGGTGGTGTGGTCAGAGCATTTGCCAGTGAACACCGAGGCAAAGAAGTCATTCAGAACCTCAGGCTTCTCCAAATCCAGGGTAGCCAGTTCTCCCGACAGCTTCCAGAGGGGGCCTGCATTGTCCCTAGTCTGTCTTTTATTTGCAGTGTAACTATAGAAATCCCTTCCTGTTATCTTTCATATCCCTAGCCAAGTTTAATTCTAACTGAGCCTTAGCTTTCCTAGCATGGTCCCTAGCTTCCCAGACAACATCCCTACTTTCTTCCCAGGCCACCTGTCCTTGCTTCCATCTTTTATAAGCCTCTTTTTTCATTTTAATTTTCTTCAGGAGCTCCTCATCCATCCAAGGAGGTCTCCTGGCCCTCCTGCTGCACTTCCTTCTAGTTGGGATGCAACACTCCTGAGCTTGTAGCAGGTGATCCTTGAAGATCAACCAAGAGTCTTGAGCCCCCCTGCCCTCTAGGGCTATATCCCATGAAAACTTACTAAGCAGGTTCCTGAAGAGGCCAAAGTCTGCTCTCTTGAAGCCCAGGTGAAGTGAGCTTGCTGCACCGTCTTCTCACTGTCCTGAGGATCTTGAACTCGACCATCTCATGATCGCTGCATCCAAGGCTGCCCTGCAGTGCCACATTTCCTACGAGCCCTTCCCTGTTGGTGAGCACGAGGTCAAGCATGGCACCTCTCCTTGTCAACGCCTCTACTACTTGCAGAAGGAAGTTGTCTTGAACACAATCGAGTAACCTCCTGGATTGCTTGTGCCGGGCCGTACCATTGCTCCAACAGATGTCAGGACAAAGATGTTACAGGACAAAAATGTCAGAGGACAAAGATGTCACAGGACAAAGGCCTGTCAGCGTGAGGTTCTTCCTATCTGTCTATAGAGTGCTGCATCCGCAGGATCTTCTTGATCAGGTGGTCTGTAACAGATCCCCACAGGAATGTCTCTCATAGCTGTTTTCCCTTTAACCCTGACTCACAAACTCTCTGTTAACTGCTCACCAGTCCCCAGACAGAGTTCCATACTCTCCAGCCTATCCCTAACATAAAGGGCAACTTCCCTTCCCCATCCGCCAGGGCTCTCTTTTCTAAAGAGCCTGTCACCTTCCATTCCAACACTCCAGTCATAGGAGCCATCCCACCATGTTTCTGTGATGCCTATTATATCATATCCCCGTAGATGTGCACATATGTCTAATTCCTCTTGGTTGTTCCCCAAACTGCCTGCTCATTGAATTTGTACTGTGAAATAGGCCAATTCCCAAATAATTTCTTTAGCCATGAGTATCCTACCAGTGAAAGGAAAAAGAAAAAAAAAAAAAAAAGGAGTAAACAGTGAAGTGAAATGAGAGAAAATACCTGATGGAGATAAGAAATGTAAAGTGCTGCAGGCTCTGCTTCTGGAAGAATAACTGTCACTATGCCAGTCAAGGTATGGGTGGTGCTCTTTGTTTCTTCTTCAGTCACTATCGTAGTTTAGAAAACCATTTCCATTTTAACCTCCCTCATTTCTCTGGACACCTGTTTATTGCCAGGTGATAAAATTTTATCTTTTTATTGACATGACCTCTTTATACAGGCACAGTAATAATCCAAAAGATGGAAAATAGGTATTTCAGCAGCTGGTAAAAACAGCAGTAGAGTAGTATGGGTTAAATTGCCCTAACTCTGATAGAGCACTGGGAACAGTCTCCACAGACTAGCAGGGGAGAAACAGTTACTACAACGTGCAAGCATGAGTCCTGCAAAGCACAGTACCTGCCTCTGAAAAGAAGGTCAGAAATGGGAAAGAGATTAACAAAATCATAATTGAAAGATTCAATTATAATTGCTAATAATAGCTCTGGGGCTTCCAGCATAAGAAGGACGTGGAGCTGTTGGAGTGAGTCCAGAGGAGGCCATGGAGATGCTGCGAGGGCTGGAGCAGCTCTGCTCTGGAGCCAGGCTGAGAGAGCTGGGCTGGGGCAGCCTGGAGAAGAGAAGGCTCCTGAAGGGGAGACCTTAGAGCAGCTCCAGTGCCTAAACGGGCTAAAAAAAAAATGGAGAGGAGCTTTGGACAAGGGCCTGTAAGGACAGGACAAGGGGGAATGTCTTTAACCTGCCAGAGGGAGAATGAGAAGAGATTTGAGGCAGAATTTCTTCCCTGTGAGGGTGCTGAGGCGCTGGCACAGAGTACCCAGAGAAGCTGTGGCTGCCCCATCCCTGGCAGCGTTCAAGGCCAGGTTGGATGGGGCTTGGAGCAACCTGCTCTAGTGGAAGATGTCCCTGCCTGTGGCAGGGGATTGGAACTGGATGAGCCTTAGGGTCCCAAACACAGTGAGGAAATGTAAGTTCTTGTATAAGGTTATCTAAGCAATGTGATGGAAAGGGACCCAGCCTTATAATTTTCATTCTAGCATGTCCTTCTTTATGCTTCTACCACACCAGCATCTCAGCTGTATTACATGGCAAACAGAAAACATCACCCTCTACTAAACTGGGAAGAAAACCATCAAGGCTTTAGAAGGAAAGAGCACTAACTTTGTGTAGGTGAAAACTCTCATACTGCAAGAAAGCCAAGTATTCAAATAAATAATGGATTACGTTTTTCTGTCAGTCTCTCTATTGAGAAAGACCTGAAACACTAAAAACTTCAGCAATGCAAGATTTTCACAACTTAGGAACAATTCCTTCCCCAGAGGGTGCTCAGGCGTTGGAACAGGCTGCCCAGGGCAGTGGTGGAGTCACCGTCCCTGCAAGTGTTCACACACCATGCAGATGAGGCCCTCGGTGCCATGGGTTAGTGGTGGCATTGGCAGTGCTGCAGAACCATTGGACTTGATGATCTTAAAGGTCTCTTCCAGCCTGGCTGATTTTGTGATTCTTATGATCAGCCTCTCAAACCAGCTCACGCCTCTCTGCTGCAAAACACACCGCGAGACCACACCTCCCCTCCCCCAGGACGCTGAAAGGGGCAAAAGCCCTCTGCGGGCTCGTTCCTGTCCGGGACCAGCGCATGTTCGAGCGCCGGGGCCCGCCACTTCCAACAGCGCAGCGCTCGGTGCCTCCTGTGGGAAGAATGAAGGAACCGCGCTCGGGAGAGAGGGACGTGGACTCCGATAACGCACTGGGGCCAGCCGGCCGCTCCGGGGGGAATGCAGGCAACTGATCCCGGTGCACAGACCTGCACCTCTGGTAACCCCGTCCTGGGAACCCGCGCCCCGATCCCGCCGTTACCCGCTTCGGCGTTTCCTCCCCAGGAGTTGCAGCAGCCTCCGCCATATCGAGATTCCCGCCTCGTCCGCCTCGTCCCGGCATACCCCAAGCGCTGCAAGGGCTGATGGGATTTGTAGTTCCGGGTGTGTAGGCGGGTATGAGTGGATCTGCGGGGATTTC